AGCAGCAGCAGCAGCAGCAGCAGCAGCAGCAGCAGCAGCAGCAGCAGCAGCAGCAGCAGCGGCAGCGGCAGCAGCGGCGGCGGCAGCAGCGGCTGGGGAGGTGTGTAGATGCCGCAGCGGCAGCTGCTGGTGAGGTGTACAGACACCCCAGCTGCAGCAGCTGGTGAGGTGTACAGACACCCCAGCTGCAGCAGCTGGTGAGGTGGCTAGACACCGCAGCAGCTGTTGAGGTGTATAGACACCGCAGCTAGCTGAGCTGGACAGACACCCCAACATTTGAGGTGTACAGACACCGCAGCTAGCTGAGCTGGACAGACACCCCACAAGTTGAGGTGTACAGACACTGCAGGCAGCTGAGCTGCACAGACACTCCAGCTAGCTACGGTGTATAGGCACCCTCCCAGCTCAGGTGTACAGACACTCGAGTCCGCTGCGGTGTCTGTACACCGCAGCAGCGTGGGGTGTACGTACACCCCGCAGCAGCGTGGGGTGTACGTACACCCCGCAGCAGTTTGAGGTGTACGTACACCCCGCAGCAGCGTGGGGTGTACGTACACTGCAGCAGCGTGGGGTGTATGTACACCCCGCAGCAGCGTGGGGTGTACGTACACCGCAGCAGCGTGGGGTGTACGTACACCGCAGCAAGCCCTTGCTGCATGCAGAGCCGCTGCAGCAGCGGAGCAGCAGCAGCCAGTCCGAGTTAGTATAGTGGCTAGTATTTCCGCCTGTCACGCGGAAGACCCGGGTTCAATTCCCGGACTCGGAGTTTCTTTTGCTGCTGCTGCTGCTGCTGCTGCTGCAGTTGCAGCAGCAGCTAAGGCTTCTGCGCAGCAAGAAGCTTTGCTTCTTCTGCGGCCGCCGCCTGCGCAGCAGACGAACGCAGACAGTCGCAGCAGCAGCAGCTCCTCTGCTGCTGCTGCTGCTGCTGCTGCTGCTGCTGCTGCTGCTGCTTTCCTCAGAGGCTCCGAGCAGCAGCTGCCGGTTCCATAGTGTAGTGGTTAGCACCCTGGACTTTGAATCCAGTAACCCGGGTTCGAGTCCCGGTGGGACCTTTTGCATCTTTCCTGCTGCTGCTGCTGCTGTTGCTGCTGCTGCTGCTGCTGCTGCTGTTGCTGCTGCTGCTGTTGCTGCTGTTGCTTCCAGATGTGACGCGAACAGCCCTTCGCGCCTCTTGCTGCGTGCAGCTCTTCAGGAGCTCTTGGCCCGCAGCAGCAGCAGCAGCAGCAGCAGCAGCAGCAGCAGCAGCAAATGCCGTCGTTTGTGTTCTTTTAATTTCTAAACTTTTCGCCAGAGTCCAGATTGCCAATTTAAATCCCGTGAGCAGCAGCAGCATTTGCTGCAGAGCTGCTAATGCTTGCTGCTTGAGCTGCAGCAGAACTTTTTGTAGAAAAGTCTTTTTAAAAAAATGTTTTAAAAGAAAATTATTTTTTAAAAAGTACTTTTTAAGAAATACTTTCAAAGAAAAGCACTTTTAAAGAAAAGTAGTTTTAAAGAAAAATATGCTTTTGGAAAAGTACTTTTAAAGAAAAGTACTTTTTAGAATAAAGGACTTTTCAGAATAAAATACTTTTTTAGAAAATGTTTTCAAAAAAGTATTTTAAAAAGTACTTTTGTCTCAGAAAAGAAATTCAAATAAAGTTCGTTTGCATGCAGTTGGAGAATAAAAATAAAAAGGAAAAACAGAATTTGAACAAAAGACTTTCAGTAATTCTTTTTCTTTTTTAAAGTAAATAAATAAATAGATAAATAAATAAGTAAATAAATAAATAAATAAATAAATAAATAAATAAATAAATAAATAAATAAATAAATAAATGAACAAATAAATAAATGTTTTTTTCTCTAAGTTTCACTACGAACCAGCAAATGAAAACTCCCACAAGTACAATTTCTGAATAAAAAAACTATTTATATCAAAAAAGATTTTATTTTCTTTTTTCTCTTTTAATAAAATTAAAAATACCATTTCAATCTCTTATCACTTCAAGCATTAATTAAAATACTTTTCAAACTTTTAAAAAACCCTTTTGCACCAAAACTAACGGGGGCCCCCACTTGGGGGCCCCTGGTCTCAGCTGGGGGGGCCCCGGGGGCCCCCTAGGGGGGCCCCCCAGGGGGGCCCCCAAGGGGCCCCCCAAGCGGCCCCCCAGAGGGCTCCCCAGGGGGCCCCTAGAGGGCCCCCCCGGGGGCCCCCAGAGGGCCCCCCAGGGGGCCCCCAGAGGGGCCCCCTGGGGCCCCTGCTGCAGCATATTGTGGCCTAGAAATGCCTTTCAGGAAGATATAAATTTGAATTAAAAACTTGAAAAATAAAATGAAAAATAAATTATTCTGAAGAGAGATTTAGTCTCAGCAATAATGCATGCAGGCCCAGAGTTTGGGGCTTTTGGAGTTCCTCTTTAATTCTATTCATTTCTATTTCCCTGCTGCTGCTGCTGCTGCTGCTGCTGCTGCTGCTGCTGCTGTTGCTGCAGGTGGCTGCTGCTGCTCCGTGGGGCCGTTCTTTAATTCAATCTATTCGTATGTATTTGCTGCTGCTGCTGCTGCTGCTGCTGCTGCTGCTGCAGGAAGCTGCTGCTGCTCCTTTTGATCATTAAAAAAAACAAATTTTTCGTTTGAATTTTGTTTTTTAATTATTTTCTACTTCAGAATTTGGTTTTTAAATAATTAATTTCCTTTTTAGCGTTTGCAGACTTTTGCCTTTTTATTTTTTTAAAATTATTTTATATTTTAGAATTTGGTCTTGAATTATTCTCACTGGACTCTGTGAACATTTATAATATCTTTTTAATTCAGAGCAAAATATATTAATCCAATTATAAACGAAAGATGAAAAATCAAAAAGACTCATACTTCTGCTTCACTGAAAGCCCCCTGCAGCAGCAGCAGCAGCAGCAGCAGCAGCAGCAGCAGCAGAAGCAGCAGAAGCAGCAGCAGCAGCAGCAGCAGCAGAAGCAGCAGCAGCAGCAGCAGCAGCAGAAGCAGCAGCAGCAGCAGCAGCAGCGGCAGCAGAACTTTGCTGCTGCTCACTGGATTTTAGCGGCTCTTTTCCAGTTGCAAAACCACTGTTGCTGCTGCCTTTTCATTCTTTTCTTTTTTTAAAAGAGTCTCCACATTTATATCTGATGAAATTAATTTAAATAATTGAAATAATTAATTAAAAGTAATTAATGCATTTCAAGATCGCTACGAGTTTTCAGCTGCTCCTCTTGCTGCGGCCTTTGCGGCTGCTGCTGCTGCTGCCGCTGCTGCTGCTGATACTGCTGTTGCTGCTGCTGCTGCTGCTACTGCTGTTGCTGCTGCTGCTGCTGCTCTTGCTGCTGCTGCTGCTGCTACTGCTGCTGCTGCTGGGGCTCTAGGTATGCTGGCAGCTGGCTTTCTTTGAACGCTTTCCTCCACTGTTTCCATTGAAACTTCTAAATTGAAATTAAATTAAAAATAAAACTGTTTATTTGGAAAAGAAAAACAATTTATTTGGAAAACAAAAACAGTTTTATTCGTTGTTGTGTGTTCGCTGGTGTCCTTGGCTCTTGTGCTGCAGCCCGGCCACCCATAAATGGAAATTCTTGACCAAATCACCGCCAAAAAGTCCTTTTTTTTCCGTTTTTTCCACCAAAATATCAAATAATTGACAAAATAAAAATAAAAGGCTCCAAAAAGATATATATAAGGCGTTAAAAAAGCTCTTCTGTTGTGCCTGAGTTGGCGCCACACACGGCGTCGCCAGCCCCATCATTCCGTTGCTGATCTGCAGAAAGCTTGAAGTTAAAAATTAAAGGGAAAAGAAAGTTCAATTGAATTAAAAATGGAAAAGTTTATTTTATTTAAACTCTTTAATTGTAAAATATATTTATTTGAACAAGAGCTGCGAAACTTATAGCTTTCTTTTGCACAATGTTGCAGTTCAACACGCCGGCTGCGATCTTCGCTCGCAGTTCACCAAAAACGACCAAATAAAGGAATTTGAAGAATCAAAATGAAATTAAAAACATTTTAAAACATTTAAATTAAAATATAAAAACTCTTTAAGCCAAAAAAAAGAAAAAAACAAACTCCGAGTCCGGGAATTGAACCCGGGTCTTCCGCGTGACAGGCGGAAATACTAGCCACTATACTAACTCGGACTGGTAGTGTTCCCCAATTACTTTTCTAAAAGATGAAATGAGTTTATCTGATTATTAATTCCACCTCCTAAACCCCAAACCCTAAACCCTAAACCCTAACCCTGAACCCTAAACCCTAAACCCTAAACCCCCGGAAGGGCGCACGGCGGCGTGTGAAGAGCTGCTGCGTTGAAGTGCTAAAACACCCTTGAAAAGTTAAAGCGAGTTGCCTGCAGCGCCTCCCACAGCAGCAGCAGCAGCAGCTGCTGCTGCAGCAGCAACTGCTGCAGCAGCAGCTGCTGCTGCAGCAGCAACTGCAGCAGCAGCAGCAGCAGCAGCGCGTTTGGCTTCGCCAGCAGCTCTCGGCCGCGGGTTTTCGCAGGGTTTGGAGAGCTGAAGTGGGGAGAAGTGGCGGAAGTTTGGAGAAAGTGGAGAAGTTTGAGAAATTAAAATAATTAAATTTAATTTCCACTTTTATTTCCAAATAAAACTAATTCTTTTTGCTTTCTTGTGCTGCTCGACACATATCCCGCAGCGCGCCCAAGTCCACGTCCGCGGGCTGCAGGTGTACGTACCGCACGGCCGAGCCGCGGATGAAGCAGCTCCGCACCGACAGCTGCAGCAGCAGCAGCAGCAGCAGCAGCAGCAGCAGCAGCAGCGGTTGGTGCAGCAGCAGCAGACAGCAAGGCGGCACGCGCGCGGCAGCAGCAGCAAAGCCGGCAGCGCGGACACCAGCAAGACGCAACGCACACAGCCGCAGCAGCAGCACCGGTGCTACCAACAGCAGCAGCAGCAGCAGCAGCAGCAGCAGCAGCAGCAGCAGCAGCAGCAGCAGCACTACCAGCAGCAGCAGCAGCAGCAGCAGCAGCACTACCAGCCCCAGCAGCAGCGCCACTACCAGCAGCAGCGCCACTCCCCGCCCGACTCCCCGCCCCGCCCCGCCCCCGCAGCAGCAGCCCCCACAGCAGCAGCAGCAGCAGCAGCAGCAGCAGCAGCAGCAGCAGCAGCAGCTGACGAGGTGGGGGCACTTGTCGGGGTCTGCCACTTGGACTTGCGTCAACTTGATGTTCAAAAACTGATCCACCGAATGCAGAACTCCCGAAAGCTGCAGGTCGTTCTTCAACTCCACCATCACTTCGCAGCTCCGCTCCGCCAGCTTCTGGAAAAAAGAAAAGTAAAACTGCAGCAGCAGCAGCAGCAGCAGCAGCAGCAGCAGCAGCAGCAGCAGCAGCAGCAGCGGCAGCAGCGGCGGCGGCGGGGGCGCGCGGGGTGAGGCGGAGGGAGGGCAGTGGACGGGCACGGGACAGCAGCAGCGGCACAAGGAACGATCGGGAAGCAGCAGCAGCAGCAGCAGCAGCAGCAGCAGATCCGGCAGCTAGCTAGCTGGCTGGCTAGCTAGCTGGCTAGCTAGCTAGCTAGCTAGCCAGATTGAGGGCCCACCATTTTTGCTTGGGCTGCTTGTCCTTGGGATGGGGCCGCGTGAGGCAGAGGGTTATGCAGAGCTGCTGCTGCTGTTGCTGCTGCTGCTGTTGCTGCTGCTGCTGTTGCTGCTGCTGCTGTTGCTGCTGCTGCTGCTGTTGTTGCAGAAGCTGCTGGTGCTGCTGCTCTTGCTGCAAGCCCCAATAGTGCTGCTGCACTGCTCCCCTTTGCGAACCCCACGGCTCTAGCTGCTGCTGCAGTTGCTGCTGCTGCTGCTGCTGCGGCTGCTGTTGCTGTTGCTGCTGCTGCTGCTGCTACTATGTATCTCGAGTCTCAGTAGTGCTGCCAGCAGCACTCAGTTCAGCAGCTGCCCCGATCTGCCCTGTCGAGAGCAGCAGCTGTGGCTGCTGCTGCTGCAGCTGTAGCTGCTGCTGTTGCTGCTGCTGTAGCTGCTGCTGTTGCTGCTGCTGCTGCTGCGGCTGTTGCAGCAGTGGGGGGCCCTAGCCGCAGGAGGCAGCACGAGAAGTTTGCTGCTGCTGCTTGCAGCTAAAAATGAATAAAGAAGAATAAATTTGCAGCAGCAAATGGGTAGCTGTTGGAGCTGCTGCAGCTGAAACCTCCGCTGCTGCTGCTGACGGTTCTGCTGCTGCTGCTGCTGCTGCTGCAGGATAAGCCAGCGGTGCGTGCGTCACCCGTGTCTCTAAAAGGACCTCTGTTTTATGTGTACCGGCTGCAACAAACCCTAAACCCTAAACCCTAAACCCTAGATCTTCGGGGCTGGACCGGCGCATGCAGCCGCAAAGGTGGCTGCGGGAGTGAAGCGGCTGCAGCAACAGTTTATTTCTTCAAATAAAGTCCAAATTTATAAATTAAATTTATTTATTTATTTATTTATTTATTTTATAAATAAATAAATAAATTTAATTTCAAATTTCTCTGCGGCGTCAGACGCTCAAGGCGCGCGTCGGTGGAAGCAGCAGCATGCAGATCCGACGGCAACGAAGTTCATGAATTCGCAAATGGCAATTTTCCATCTTTTGAGAATAAAACGAAAACAAATAATAAATAAATAATAAATAAATAATAAATAATAAATAAATAAATAATAAATAAATAAATAATGACTGAATTGAGAGGCAAACGGCGCAAACGCGGCGAAAAACCCGCAGAGAATGAGCAATCCGGCTGCTGGCTTTCAGTTCAACTTCTTTGCAAACCCTAAACCCTAATCGCTAAACCCTAATCGCTAAACCCTAATCGCTAAACCCTAATCGCTAAACCCTAAATTAAACCCTAATTTAAACCCTATGATTCCCGAAGCCTCAGGTTCTCATTAGACCCTTAAACTCGTATCTTGCCTCGTTTGTAATTGTCTAGGGTTTAGGTAGAGTTTAGTGCTTAGGGTTCAGGGTTTAGGGTTTAGGGTTTAGGGTTTAGGGTTTAGGGTTTGAAGCCTCCAGCTCACGCTTACGGTTTAGCCTGCTGCTGCAGAAAGGCGGCTTCTTGCTGCTGAAAAGAAGACAAAAAGAATTTTAAAATTCTAAACCCTCAAAGAGAAGAAAAGAACTTTTGAAAGTTGTAAACCCTCAAAAAGAAAACAATTTTAAGAACTTCTAAACCCTCAAAAAGAGAAAAAGAATTTCTAAAGTTCTAAACCCTCGAGACAGCCGAATGCGGGGGAGGGTTTAGCAATTCAGGTGTACGTACACCTGCCAACAACAGCGGCCCCCCCCCACGTGCTGCAGCCCTGGGCGCTTCTTCAAGCAGCAGCAGCAGCAGCAGCAGCAGCAGCAGCAGCAGCAGCAGCAGCAACAGGAGTAGCAGCAACAGCAGCAGCTCCTGCGTAGGAACTCTAAGAGAAGCAGAGGGGCCCCCCGGGGGCCCCACACTTTACCTTACTGGGGATCGAAAATAAAGCGATCCCAGGCCCCACAAAGAGCCCCACAAATGCCTTTTTGCTGCTCCAATCTCTTCCTAAAACACACCAGGGGGGCCCCCTGGGGCCCCCATTTAGGGGCACCTCAGGGGGGCCCCCGGGGGCCCCCAGCCCCGCACGGGCCTTGGGGGGCCCCCCAAGAGGTTCTTAGGGCACTGCGCAGCAGCAGAAATGCGGCAATAACTGTGGGGCCCCTGTGGGGCCCCACAGGCCCTCACCAGGGGCCCCTGTGGGGCCCCTGGGGGGCCCCTGGGGGCCCCCCTGTGGGGACCTCGTGGGGCCCCCGTGGGGCCCCTGTGGGGCCCCCGTAGGGCCCCCGTGGAGCCTCTGTGGGGCCCCTTTGGGGCCCCCGCGGGGCCCCCTTGGGGCCCCTCAAAGACCCATGAGGGGCCTTTGTGGGGCCCCTGTGGGGCCCCACAGTTGCAGAGGAGGTTTCGTAGGGGCACTGATATAGCCTTAGTGGCACCGCCTTAGCTTTAGCAAACCCTAAACCCTAAACCCTAAACCCTAAACCCTAGGGGCTACTTAAAAGCCCCACGAGATTAGCCCTCCTTTGCTGCTGCCTTTGAGTGCTGTTTTGCTTCTCGCTTTGCTTCTGCTGCAGCAGCTCCGCTGCAGATCTGCTGGCCAGACTGCCACGCTTGCATGCAGCAATGCATGCATGCATGCATGCATGCAGCAATGCATGCATGCATGCAGCAATGCATGCACGCATGCATGCATGCAACAATGCATGCACTAATGCATGCATTGATGCATGCACCCATGCATGCATGCACGGACTCAACCCACTGCACTTTTCTACTCTAAAGCGCTCTCGAGAAGCAGCTAGCTGTAACTAGCTGCAGCTAGCTGCAGCTAGCTGTAGCTAGCTGTAGCTAGCTGTAGCTAGCTGGGCCTAGCTGTAGCTAGCTGGGCCTAGCTGTAGCTAGCTGCAGCTAGCTGGGGCTAGCTGTAGCTAGCTGGGGCTAGCTGTAGCTAGCTGCAGCTAGCCATTGGCTAGCTAGCGGCGAGCTGGCTAGCCAGCGTCAAGCAGGCTTGTGGCTGTTTTAGTTTTGGGGCGCTGAGGCCCCTGGCGTTTCATTTAAAGCTTCAGTTGCATGCATGCATGCATGCATGCATGCATAAATGCATGCATGCATGCATGCATAAATGCATGCATGCATGCATGCATGCAATTGTATGCATGCATGCATGCAATTTTTATTTATTGACTCGCAGCTGACCCCCAGAGTTCAGGGTTTAGGGTTTAGGGTTTAGGGTTTGGGGCACCCTGAGAAGCCTGGTGGGGCTCACATTCAGCAGATTTGCCGGTCAGCGGCCCGTCCATGCTGCTTCTAAACAGCAGCAGCAGCAGCAACAGCAGCAGCAGCAGCAGCAGCACCTGCTGCTGCTGCTGCTGCTACCTGCTGCTGAGGCGGGGCGCTGCAGCAGCAACGGGAACCCGCTTGTGCGGCTTGTACAAGAGGCGGCCGCGCGTCTAAAGCTGCAGCGTCTGCCACTGTTGTTGCTGCTGCCGTTGCTGCTGCTGCTGCTGCTGCTGCTGCTGCTGCTGCTGCTCTTGTTGCTGCTGCTGCTGCTGCTGCTGCTACGAACGCGCACCAAACGAAGGCGTCTCTATACCTGAGAGGAGAATTCGTTCGTCTCTTTGGTGGGCCTTTTGGCTCTTCGAGGAAGTGCGCCCGGGGGCGTTCTAAGCAGCAGCAGAAGCAGCAGCAGCAGCAGCAGCAGCAGCAGCAGCAGCAGATGCATCAAAAGCAGCAGCAGCAGCAGCAGTCACGCTAACGTGTTTAGTTGCTCAGTTGCACCGCAACTAGGACTTGAAAGAGCAGCCAGGAGCTGCAGCAGCAGAAGCAGCAGCAGCAGAAGATGCAACGGCAGCAGCAGTAGCAGCAGCAGCAGCAGCAGCAACTGCAGCAGCAGCAAAGCGCTCACCCCTTTTTCAGGCGGCTTCCGGTCCCTATGCCTCTGCTCACGATGGTGAGAAGATGCAGCATCGCTTTGCTGCTGCTGCTGCTGCTGCTGCTGCTTTTCTTTTGAAGCAGAACGCCGTCGAGAAGCAGCTGCAGCAGCAGCAAGCATCAACGTAAACAGCAGCAGCAGATGGAGCAGCAGCAGCAAGTGCGGCAGCAAGAGCAGATGCAGCAGCAAGTGCAACAGCAGTAGCAGATGCAGCAGGACATACAGCAGCAGCAGCACAGGGTATCGCAGCAGCACGAGGTGCAGCAGCAGCAGTGGATGCAGCAGCAGCAGCAGTGGGTGCAGCAGCAGCAGCAGTGGATGCAGCAGCAGCAGTTGGGTCTTCTCGCAGTGCATGCCCACACTGCCTAGCTAAAACCCTAGATTGCAAAACCTTAATTCCAAACCCTAATTGCTAAACCCTAGCAGCTTCCCTAAAACCCTAAACCCTAAACCCTAAACCCTAAACCCTAGACCCACAAATGAGGCGTTCGCCGAAAGCTGTTTGCTGCGCGTCGCCGCGCCGAGTTCCTAGGTGGGGGAGCTCACCCTGCAGCAGCAGCAGCAGCAGCAGCAGCAGCATGTGCAGCAGCGGCAGCAGCAAGTAGCGCAAGCAGCAGCAGCACAGCAAAGATGCGACTGCAGCAGCAACATGAAGAGGTGTGAAAAGAGCAACACCACGAAAGAGACAGCAGCAGCTGCAGCAGCTGCAGCCGGCACTCAGACAGCAGCAGCAGCAGCAGCAGCAGCAGCAGCAGCAGCAGCAGCAGCAGCAGCAGCAGCAGCAGCAGCAGCAGCAGCAGCAGCAG